ATCTGAGCTCTGTTCCGGGTCTCTACGGAAAGCCACTACCGGAAGTACCAGCATCACCATCCTTGAACATCTTGTTCAAAATGGACACGAAATTCTGATTGCTGATGCTTTCAACCTTTACTACACAGTGTTAAAACAATATGCTGAAGTTCTTAGAAGACGCGTCCTTAAGATAGCCGAATCAATAGGGATCAAGTTGACGCAAGCAGGGCTTTGCAAGCATACGATGCTATTGCAAACTGTCACGTCGCCGTGACCGTGATGAAGATCCATCCGTATGGAACATTGATGATGACCGAGGGTGGCTTCTCTTCTCGGCTGACCCTACAGGTCGGCGAGGTCTATCAAGTAGGGTCATATTAGGGTCCGTTGTCATCGATAACACAAGCTCCCTCCACCCGAGCCGATCAATTTTGTTTCCATTCGAATAAATCGAATCAGTTCAGACAAACTTCTGCCTTCTCTTCAGCTTTCATTAGCTTGTGTTTACCCCAGATCTTCTTATAAACGTATTTGTCTGATGCGTGCTGCCGAAAAGGGAACTCTTTGCAACCGCGTCTCTCTAAATACCCGTTTTGTGTGTGTGTACAACAAGATACGGCCAGATAGTGGCATTTAATCGCTCTACCTTTTAGAAGTCATGACTAGATAACCAGTGCCGCAGCAGCTGTGGACCATCTATTAGACATGGGTATCGATTACCTTGACATGGTCGATTCACTGGTGTTGCGAACGAACCGGCTGACATGAAAGCCACACACATGGGATTAACGTAATGGATATTGCTTTGCTCGGTGTGAATAGAGCTGGCGAAACCCTTAAGATGAGACTTTACACCCACATACATACAACTTGGTTGCTGACTGTTAACCCATCGTTGTTAGTGTTTTAACGCTTCCGAGTTGTTTCAACTCTTAGTCTGAACCTACGAACGTTCTTCGCAGATAGTAGAGTATCCAATCGAATTCGTAACGTTTCGGGCTAACGAGATCTAGCGGTCATATGTACACGCGAGCAAAAACTGGAGACGACTACCGGCAACCTAGCACCGACTGCACTGAGATCCGAACGAGGAGATTGGCCGTTCGCAAGAGTTCTTTCACTTACTCAATCGAAGCAAGCCTTCTACATCTTCATTAGTATGACGCAATATAATAGCATAGACTATACAGCAAGGTGGACGTTGGCAAGGCACCTGAGTTGTCGCCGTGTTGGTGTCATGAGGGAATCACAGTTACTGTCAGTATGATTTTGTGCGGTAACTGCCCCAGCAAATGAGGAGCTCAGGCCTTTTACTGCTGCATGACACGATGAAGACAGCAGTGAGTCCAGTTGATTCACTGCAGCGTACATACCTGAGTACAGCTTAGTTGGTTGATGGTCGCTTGATCCTAGGGATGGCTCGTTTGTTCTCGGGCGCATTCTGAGTCTTCGCATGATGATTGTATACCTGTGGTGAGCCCGGCGGAGCTATGCCAGCTCCGTAACAGTTAGCTGATAACATGATTGCTAGACCGTATATCCGCTCAGGTATCATCTATCATCATAGTAAAACGCTAAACTGCTTTCCAGATCATGATATATTTGTCAGTCTTGTATTCCATTTCCCCACTTTTGGACTTAGGAATTAGTTGTGAATTGTGTGCATGTCATGGGTTGTTGAGACAGCTTAAAATGGTGTGATGATACCCCATCATTGAGGTACTTGTTTATATGCAGTCTTCTATGCTTCCGCGTAAAGCAACGCCTTTATGTTTTCAGTTCAACACTCAGTCGAATTTATGATCTTGATATAATTTCAGGCAAACAATTGTGGACAAGGCCGTGTGCGGCCGGTTGCAAATTGGGTTGTGTTATTCACAAAAATCTCGATGTTTATCCTTCTGGTCTAAGTTCCTTCTACACCTACCTGCATTATTCAAACGAAGGCGAAGTGTTTGATGTGCTTATGACCGATCGCATTGAAGCTGTATCTTACCGTGCTGCAATGGTATGCCTGCTTCAGCGAACCATTGAGTTGTGTTGGGTGTTACTTTTCGCATATTCAGAGTCGCTCATGCCAGATTGGTCAATGATTAGAGCCACACAAACTTGGCCTTCTGGTCCTCCAGGTTGTGCGTTGTTATGTGGGTGGCTCCATATTCCTTAAAACGGACTACTTGTAGTCTGCTGCCACACCCACTTCCTTGCGGTCAGCTTATCGAGCCAAAGGCTTCTTATTCCCCTTGCTTTCACCCTTGTCGTCTCGTTCCAACTTATCTTTTATCCCCCTTCTCAACTCACCAATCCTTGGCCCTATCCCACCTTACTTTGATAGGTCCTTATCTTCTAGTTTCAACTCACATACAAACGCGGTGGGTCGCTCATGCCGTATCGACAAGCCCATGTCTATCCAAGCGGATCATGTCAGTTCATCCGTTTCTCAATAGCCTTGTTGTAGCTCTACAGAACGATTCCCATCCGTTGCTAATGCCTCGTTTGGCGAGCCTCTGTTGCAAGTATTTTTAAATTTCCTTTTGTAGTGCAGCACAACAGCTGAGGTCTTTTCCACCTCTAGCTAAATTGTTGACTATCAAAATAATCATAGTAAGCAATTCGGGTACAATGAACAATGAATTTACACGGGTTAAGAAGCGTTGCTATACAAGTCCCGGATAGTTGGTGGCGATATCAACATAACAATAATGATAATAAGGATAGTAAAATAGTTAATACTTTAAATTTAAAAATAAAGACATCGTTTGCTTCGCGGTAGTCCTGCGATCCTCTTAGGTTCACAGCACCCACAGTTAACAACAAATAATTCCATGGTAAACTCCAGGTGTAGGATGGAGACATAGTGTTAAGTAACAAAGTGTAAGTGGATGAGTGCATCGTCCAACCGTCTTTTAAATACTGTTAGTGTCGGTGCAGAGACGACCGATTCTGGCAGAGCATTCCACGGGTGACAGACATGAATGGAAAAGGAATTTCTGCGGCACTCCAGACGACTGTATTGTTCTGCGAGTTTTAACGAGTGGCCCCTCAGGTTTGTGTTGCTGCTGAGTTGCAGTAAAGGGCGGCACACATGATGTGGATCTCGCAGAATCAAGTATGCCATAATCAGGTCGCCTCGTAGTCTGCGATAGCTTCCACTGAACAATCCCAGTCGTTGCAGCCTCTCTTGATAGGAAAGATGGCGCATTCCAATTACGTTCTTAGATGCCCGGCGTTGTGGCTGCTGCAGTGCGTTAAGGTCGTGTTTCAGCCATGGATGCCAGGCTTGAATTGCATATTCGACATGGGGGCGAACATACGCACTGAGCATTTGTCGAAATATGGAGCTGTTTATTTGTCCAAACGCCCGCCTCAACAGCCCGGCGTGTTGGTTCCCGGTCTTGGAGACCTTTTCGGATTGCCTGGAGCAACCCAAGTCATCTTGAACCAGGACACCCAAGTCACGTTCGAGAGTTGATTGTTGCAGTACATCCGTTCCGAGTCGGTATGAGTAGCTGCTCTGATGTCGGATGGAAAGCACCTTGCGTTTACTGACGTTGAAATGCAATAAGTTTTGGGTCGACCATTGATAGACTGTATCTAAGTCACTCTGAAGCAGATGATGGTCGGCGTTCGCCTGGATTCTGCGCCAGATCTTGTTATCGTCGGCAAACATTAGGAAGTTTGAAGCGATTCCTTGTGCAAGGTCATTAATAAACACCAAAAACAAACGTGGACCTAGAACTGAGCCTTGCGGCATACCACACTCGACTTGTATGGGGTCCGATAAAGAGCTCCGAACTCTGACCCCTAATTGTCGTTGAAGTTGAAAGTTGGCGATCCAGCTTAAAAGGGTCGCCGATCCCGTAATGCTGCAGCTTGGATAGTATTATCCGATGGTCTAGACGATCGAAAGCCTTGGAAAAATCCAGGTAGATCACATCAACACCTTCTCCAGCGTCAGCTGCATCGGTAGTGTCTGTCCTTTGGATGAGTCGCAGTTGTGCGGATTTAGTAAACTTATTTCAATGTTATTCTCGTTTTATTTAGTGATCAAGCATTTCAAACCTCTGCAGGTTGCAAGCAGTCCATGTGCAGCAAATATAGGAGGACAGATGACTTTTATCAAAACTTAACGCTCTAACTTCCCACATTACACTGCCTTTCATCAAACGGTAATGTTAGTTCCTGCAACGGGACTGCATCCCTTGGAGGAACTCTACTTTCTACGGTGTGTTCCACACCAGTCTACTTCTCGTTTGACATCTTAACACTGTATAATCCTAGTAACGTCAGCTAAAGCAGCCGATTGCGCGAGCTAGCATTGCAGTCAACTTGTGGTGGACTTAAGGCAGAGGCTACTCCACCAGTTATTAGTAGTATAAACGTGTCAGGAAGTCAAACGGCTATGAACCAACTGCAAACCATAATGACCTTGAAAGGAAAGGAACACTTGGGAACCGTGGACGTATCCGCGCGTAATATGGGCCCATAAGCATTGCACGTCACCTAGCCACTAGGCACAGTAGCAATGTGTGTCGTGGATCCTCCAACAGGGAATGCATACATGTGCGGAACTTTCCTTGGTCAGGATCAATGCATCAAGTTCATGCTGTTTGACACGGTCAAGAACTCCATAGCTACATTCGGTTCCCACAACCTGCAGATGCACATTACCATAAGTTAGGGATCAATTTGACAGTTGCAATCCTAACCGTTCTTCCCCTATCTAAATACTATCAACACAGGGGACGACGGATATTGTGTGCAGTCTTTGAAACTAGCATGGACCGGAACTCGCCATGGTTTCGAAATGTAACCCTGCTCATTACCTGCTTTGGATAGAAATCTACAAGTGTTTTTACTTAACGGTTGTGCAACGAAGTGTATATTGACTTTCGGTCACGGTCATGATTGCTGATCAGCCCGAGGTAAAAGTCCGTTGTCCGCCGTGGGCGCTTTGAGTTTCTTAAAATATTTCCACGTCTCGCGGCTACAAAGCTTGTTTGCTTTTTGTACTTTAGGTTATCTTGATCTAGTGTCCAATCTGACGGAAACCCCACTGAAGCCGGCCTACTATGGCCAACAGGATGGGATAGGATTGAGTCCGTGGTTATTATTGATCCAGTCCGATGAGGTAAAACTGCCGAACGAAAGACGGGATTCAACTGACTATCGGTGGTGCGCAAATAGTACGCTGGGTCCATCACCGTCAGCTCAGTGCGAGTTGTGCAGAGTGTCTCCCGAGGGTCGCTCTTCATCAGTCATTGACCTTGAACCAGTCAACCTGAATGTCATTGTGAAAGTGTTGGATCAGCATCAACTACTTGATCTACTTCGACCTGCTCACCTGCTCCATCCACTACCCTTGGGGTTGGCCACGGTGATCTTGCAATATCAACTTGACCAGGGTCAAGCTAAAACCGTTTCACCTCAACCGACAGACATTCTAATCAATCAGCACGCGTCGAAGGCGAAGGCCATCCGAACTTCGCCGTGGTTACCCTTATTAACAACCAGCATGATGTTGTTACCACTCTCTCCTCAGGCAAACAAGGTGATTTCATTACTTTCATCCTTATATGTCTAGGCACGTTTTGAGTTTACATTCTATATATACAACTTCAATATGCTGGTCATTGCAGCTGAACATATCGATTCCTATCTATCTCACAGCCTTGCTTCGTGGTTGGAACACGAAACGTGCAACTCATAAGTTGTATCTCAGAGATTACAATTACAAACCTTAACTTCGATTCCATGTATTGTCCACCCCCACACCTCAGCGAACGTTATGCTGTCTATTTCTAACTATACGTGTTGTCTCAAAGTCAGGATCAACATGCGATGCAGGTCCGGTGGATGGACTGCATCACCTAATCTCATTTCGGACCGGGAAGTGTTGAAACTGGGTCAGCTTTACCAATGAGCCCAAGCTTCTCACTGGCTCTTCCTGCATCAACCTAGCCTTTTCCTTGTAGCTGTCTCTACCTGAATAGTGCTAGGGAAGCACGACTACTCACTGCATGCAATGTTAAAGTTGGTTGCGTTAGATACCATTCCATTTTATACGTCATTTTTCACAAACGACTACCGATTTTAACTCGTTAATCACTTTGCTTTGCACTCATTTGTATCATCCAAAGCTTAAATTTCTGTCTATTATCACTTTGCCTCAGAACCAACCCATCAGATCGGTGCATCCTTATTTGAAATCGAAGCTAGGTGGCGGACCGCTGACATACATTTCATTGCAAGCACCAGCACAAGTCGCTTCTGTCTCAGCGTGGATTCCTCCACCGAAGTCTAGTGTTCATCTGGATAACCTGCACAACATCATCTCTCAGTGTGGATGCCAGTGGTCGCTGCCGGAGGAACACCTTAATTCAATGGGAATGGGACTCAAGACGACGAGCGATGCTGCCGCAAGTGGGCCCCGGTTGTTTCAGCCGTTTGTAGAGGAAGCGTATGTGAGTGTGTTTTGGCCGAGAGCCGCCTCCGATATTTGTCCCTCTGGGGCGCCCATTTTACTCGCGTTGATCAGCACTCGCGTTACCAAATTAGACGCGGGGATTTTCACTGAACGATTCTTGTAATACCAAATAAGGTTGTGGTTTGAGTTGGACCGCGACACCTGGCGGCACGATTGCACGCACTTGCGCACGTGGTCAGACGACTGCTCCCCTGAGTTCGGCAGGCGAGCCTATTCTAGGCGTGACCCACCCTACTCACACAAAGCGGGGCTACACGATGCGCTTTCCCCGGTCAGTATCGGATGCGACAAACCGCGAAGGTAGGGGCCTTGCGGAGTTAGGTAGTAGATTAACAGCAGTGTACTGATGGCTGCAAATTATGATGCAGCGCCTGCACACGACATTGGATGAGCTTGGAAGGAGCTCTTTTGAGTGACAGTACAAAATCCAACGGGAACTGGAAATTGACGCATTTTTATGACAACTCCGTCCAAATGCCGAAAGCGTATCCGGTGTTGTAGCGTTAGGAATAATCCGGCAATTTGCTATCTACTTTGTGTAGCTGTTACATCTAAGTGGAATAGCTGTGAGCTCGAAAGATGCTTATTTCCGCATGGGACAGTAAAGATGGCCAAATACTTGTTCCTCTGGTATTGCGTTGCTCTGAAATGATGAACCAAGAGTTATTTTACCACGCACTAATACCAACACGTAAGCACCTTGTTTATGAACAACAGTCTTGTTATCTTGTTTTTGCGCAACAAATTCTTCCTGCTTTTCCACGACACGCTTTTGCAGTCATGCTTAAGAAATTATATACACTCGATCATAAACTATTGTTAATAATAATATATATATTTCAGAAAGCCAGAGTCGCAATAGGAGATCAGGAGCAATAAATCTTATCCGCGTCTAATTGTGGCGTCGCTGACAGCAATTAGTATAGATTACTCTTCGCCAACTCCAAACGCACAGGACTTTCAAAGGTGAATCCGTGTTATGTTTTCGCTGCCAGAGCAATCAAGCACAAACGTAAGGTACATCATTGTTCAGTCATTCCGGGTGGACACTTTGCCGTTCATTAGCTCTCAGCGAGAACATAAAACAGCAATAAGGAATTGGCGGGTACATGTAAACACAGTTCGGGTTATAAAAGTAATCATACATCGGGACACTTCCTTAGATGAATTAATTACCTGAGCACTATATGAATTATCGAGTGTCGGAACACATTAAAAGTATATAAATTATAGGATGCTGAAGGAACTACGTAATTGCCTATGTGGGATGGATTTAATGGACTAGAGAAGGAGAAGTTCAATCAAACTTTCGTGCACTCTCTTTTGATCTAACCAGAATTAGGTGGAAAACCTTCAGAAAGTACTCTCTAAACGGGTGAACTGAATCTACAAATGGTAGTGCTTCAGTCAAAATGCAGATCCCGATTCCGAGCTTATTGATGCGGCTTCTGCGGTTGCATGGGAAGAAGGCGATTCGTACACAAGCTGCTATATCTCAGATCCATCGGATATTCGCTTCGCCTGCTTTCTCTTACTGAACATGCGGATGACGTGATGGCCAGCTCTTAAGTTTACACGTTGTGATCTCGCTTGCTCGTACATTGTTATTCCCCTCGAAGTCACTGTCTAGAATAAATCCACTCACTTGGATCCGGTCGGTTGCCACTATCCGGGAGAACTATGGATGGTCGTTACAAACGTGTCCGCATTGCACAGACCATGGCACGAGGGGAATGGGAAACTGGTGTGCTCGTGCAGAGGAGAGCTGGCAGCTGCGCTACATTGCAACGATTAAATTACACATATCCGCTTTCAAAGCCTTTCTCATTCAATTGGGCTTATTCCCCGCATACACCAATTAGAGTACGCGTTGTTGAAACTCTTCAACTGCGTAACGAAATGCACACCACTTACAAGTTCCCGCACCTCCACTGATTTTGTTCACCGTCTAGTTTGGCAACGCTATGCATTCAATTTCAACTATGCATTTATCCTAACTTACTTTCTACTTGTTTTTACACATTTTTCCATTGTTCTACAACGATTGCATACAATTTGCTCCCATTCCAGTCTATGTTGAATGCGACGCCAAAGCAGGCGGACGGATATTTGAACCTATCGAGTTCGGTGAATACCCACTGTACTTGTGTCAGGCGCTTAACCACAGTACTGTCACCTCCGTGTGGATTGGACGCAAGAACGTCGTCTTCTACGCATCCACAGACGCGGCGGATCGGCTTTGGGCACAATATTGCTGAATCGCAGCACCCATGTGGCATTCCACGTTCCACCGCACATTTCCTTTCGGACGCGCGTCACTTCCATTCCTCTGGTATGGGGAGTCGAACAGTACCAATTGGTACATGCTGTAGTACTGAGTGCAAAGAGTTCGCCTACAGCCTGCGCACTGCGATGCGAAGACTATCGCCAAGGCTTCTTTCTCTATCTAACCTTAATTTCGCTCTGCGGCAGACAGCGACGGAGATGCATGTGCGATTGCCTTTTCTGAACTATCTGCGAACTTGTTGGCTACGACTGCGCCAATGCCATAGTTCGAGGCGTCTGCGGTTACTAAAACCTCCAAAGTTGGAACATTATGTGTTGGCAGAAGTTCGGAACATAGTGGCCTTTTTACCTTGTCCAATGAGCTCTGGCTTCCTGAGGACCAGTTCCAGTGTTTATCCTTGGTCAGCAGGTCATTGAGTGGACCACGCAAGTGATACACGTGCAGTAACAACGGGCTGTAATGCGTTATGGGTCCTAGGAAGGTCGTTAACGTTGCAACATCTTTGGGCGGCGGCATCTTTTGGTTTGCCTCGAAGTCCGCTGGGTCTGGACGCCTACGGTTCCCGTCGAGTATAAAGCCGAGAAACATAGTCGTCCTTGAAAAATGTACACTTGCAGGTCGGAGCCTGAATACATATTCCTCAACACGGCCAAGAATTCGATTCAACTCTTCAAATAGATCATCAGCATTGTCTCCGACAACAATGCTCTCATCTATATATGTGGCTGTTCCATTGACATCTGTCAGCCCTGTGTCCATGATCTGCTGGATTATGGCTGGTGCAGACTTGACTCAAAGTGGGAGACGGTGATACTGGTACATGCGTCGATGCGTATTGATAGTGAGTTATTCTCGTGAAGCTTCGTGTACTTCGATCTAAAGGTATGTATCCGAGAGATCTAGTTTTGCAACCTTTATCATCATTCAATTTTATAAACAAAACCACTGGGAGTGTTGAAGGTTACTGATGTCCGTTCAATCCAACATTTAGACCCGTCGAGGAATTGGCGCATATTCGAAACTGACCGTTTTGCTTTTTGACCAACACAATGGGTGACACCCAAGACGAGTAGCTCACCGGAGGACAACCCCTGCTCTCTCTAAACGATCCGCCTGCTGGTCAAACATTTATGTTGCTGCGTAAGGACAGGGCGTCTCGTAAAAGACGCTGGAACAGTATCGATCTTTAGCGATAGGGAAGCTTTTACTTTTGTACAATAACCGAGGTTCTCCTGCAAATCCGCTAAATATTTCTCCCATAGGCGCACAATAGCTGCAGTTTCAGGAGCTGTTTCCTCTTATCTCTGGACGCTTGCACGATTCTGGTTGACCGGAACATCAAGAAGGTAGAAGCGCTCGATCCAGTGCAAACCCAGCAGGTTCAAATTCTGATGACTCGTGATGAAAATCGTTCCCCATGGGTTAACGTTGGCATAACGACACACGCAATCGAGTTGACCAGTCACTTTCAAATCGGCACCTGACGCACTTTTCGCCTGCTGACTCATATATTTGATTTCTGCTGACCCGACAATTCGCCACAGCGTTTCTTATATGACCGCAAAGTCTGAGGCCGGATCGATCTGCATACGGACCTGCTTTCCATTGATGTTATTGTTAATGAATTTTCTATTATCTCCCAAGTCGTCAGTAAAATTGGCGTTCATTCTCCACGCGAAACCACTGTAGGTATTTTCATGCATCATGAGACCGTCTGAAAAATGGCTTGGATCTGCAATGCGTTTCTCTGCGCCCATGTCTACGATATTGCTGGAAGATATGCTTGTTGAATGGGCGCCATACAACAAAATGCCAGTCGCCACATTGCCAACATGCTTTCCTTAAAGGGTTTCCTTGTGATTAGTGTCCGGTAAATTCTTCCTCAACATCTGCTGAACGGCAGATATATTGGAATGTATTCTCGACCATAGCGCATGGTGTATTAAACTGCTGATTCTCTGAGCCTCTGCAATAACAGCTTACAGTGTGACATCCGGGTCTCGCTCCAGTAACCCTAATATTCTGGTTCGGAACTCGGCATCCTCGGGATATTGCAAGCTGCATACTATTATCAGACAGGCAAATTGTTATCCCGTAAGTAATTTCAGCTTGAATTTTTGACACTTATGATTCACTATTGCACCATGGGCAATGTGACTGTCGATGTTCCCCTTGCACAGCTTCAGGCAATTGTACGGAATTTGAAAATCGACCCTTGATCGCTGAACGTCGCCCTAAGTCTGGAAATTGTCTCAATAAATCTGAAATCTTGAGCACTTTTGACCAAATGTAATTGATGTATTTGTTGTGCTCCACAGTTCCAAGTTTACATAGCAGCAGCCGTAGTTTTGACGCATCAACAAGATTTGCCAGCTCCGTCATGAAAGATGTTCGGAACGCCTGAATACTGCATCGAAAATCAGTCCTGAAGCGGAAGCTAAAACAAACTCAAGGACACTGTTGATTATTGCATGAACTGTAGGCTTCTCAGCATTGCGGACTGACGTAAACTGGAGCGATAGTGCTCTTGTGAATGTCGCGATTATACGCAGCTGTGCCGCATCGAATTGCTACTGCCGTTGAAGCAAAATAACTTTCAGTTTTTCTGCCGACATTGAAATCTTGCATAACTCATCTCGCGTCGCCAAAATCGGTTGTGTTTCCGTTCACAGTACGGACAACGGATACAGCCACGTTCCAACTCAAAACAAAGGCCTCTCGCGGAACTCGTATGGAGCACTCGGGCGACAGAATGTATGGCCAAAATATGGGGCCGAAATAAATAGTTCATGAGAGAAAAGAACTGATTGTAAGTT